AGATAAAATTGAAAATTTATCGGGACAGTAATCTGAACTAACTCTTGAAGTAAATGGTGAACCAATCAAGCTCTACTTAGTCGAAGATCTCAGTATTTTATGCTCTAGTAATTCAATGTTCTCTAAACAGACTGCTTGTAACAGAAGTAAAACACTTAGGCTCCTAGACTACATTACCCGCAGTTCCTTTCACTGCAAAACAAAGGTTTTATTATGCAAATTATGTGTTGGACCTATTTGAGGTTACTGCTCTTTTTTTTCTTGGCGGACTCCAACAGGCTGAAAATAGAACCACTATGAAAAAGACGGCTAAAGCTAAACCTTACCTTCTACTACAAGTTAACTTATCTTTTCCTGCACTCCTCCAGACCAGTAACTAAATCTACCTCTGTCATCAGTTACAATCTTAAAAGTCATGTCAACCTAGTTGCTATGGTGCATTGTCAGACTTACATGTGGTCCAACTTCTTCTCAAATAAGTTTTCAGTCATTTGGAACAGACTACCAGCCAGTGTGCACGACACAAATGCACTCCCAGTATTCATCTCCTAAACCACTAGGCTCCTCAAAGATGACAGTGCTCTCCTCCATCTGGATCCTACACCTTCTTTTTCACCCCACATAGATCTACTTGTTTCATTAAACGGATGAGTAGCAATAAAATTCATTAATAGGTATTAATATTTTTTGAGGAACGCGATAAACATTTCTAGATAGGGCTTAAACATTAGTTCATACATGTAATATAAAAATTAGTATCACAGAACAAGTTAGTTGGTGTATCAATAGAGATCATGGTTTCTGTATTTATATATATATATATATATACATATGTATATAATTCGCAAATTCCTCCTTAAGGACTCCTTATGCTTCTTTCTGTGCTACCGCTATTTATCTTCTTTTTTCCTTCACCATTTTAGCTTCCGTATGACTTTGTGAATGATAAAGAATGCAGATGTTTGGCGACTTAAAGTAACAATCTAAAGAGATCTGCAAAATTACTGGCCCAAAATCATACAACCACCTCGCAGAATACCCATTACTTCCTTCTGCGACGCATCCTCGGTGACAGTTGTCCGATATTACCTTTATACCAATAAATAAATCCCAGTCACTTCATGCACAGCGCCAATGAATTTGATAATTTAAGAATAATCAACATATGCTGATGGTCGCGTTTGAAATCTCACTCACTCGTGTGATAATAATTTCCAGCTCCTACGTACTATACTTGTGATTTGCTATGGATTTGTTCGCCGTTATTCTGGTTTCTAGTCGCATATGGACTGAAAGTTACATGTTGCAATAACAATACTTCTTTGTACGTTGAACTGGACACTTACAGCTGCGGTGAGCCACCGGCAGTGAATATTACTAAAAACATTATCGGTTAACTGACTAACATTTTACAAGCGAATTTCATCACTTTACGAATAACCTACCATACTTATTGTAACAAGCGGAGCAACAGGCACAAAGATAATGAAAGCAAAACACGAGCTGTGCAGAGAACGTTTATTCCACAAGAATCGATTTTAAAAAGTGAGGCGCCTTAGTCTTACAATCTAACAGTCTCTATTGTCCTCGCTGAAGTTTAGACCTTTCAGTTGTTATATCTCTTGGTCCAGATAGTTGATAATCGAGGGCAAAGTTCAACAATAGCGTTCCAAGGGATGCGAACGCACGAGTGACACTCAGTCGACCAATCATAAAAATAAGTGACTTTTGCACAAAAAATGACGTATATTTACAAGAAAATGCATTAAAACATATTAAACAGGTTTTCTTTCTCTGACATGACTTAAAAACACGTCTCAGTTATAATGAGGAATATCAGTTGCTAAGTTAGACTAGTTTCTGTACATGTATTCACCGAAGTGACTAAAGATGAGCCGTTTCTGTGAATTGTTTATTTCTCTTATCCAGTTGTACAGTCTTCTCCAAAAGCCCTCGATTGAATCACTATGGTTTCCAGTAAGAGGATCGACGACTACTTACCAGGAAAATGTGGATAAGAAAACAAATTAAAATAAATGATATCAAATCTAAATCTATCCCTAGTTTTAACTCTAACCTTAATCCTCACCCTAACCATAAACTTAACACTAAACCTAATTACACCCCTTATCCTAACCGTAAGCCTCGCCCCAATGCTAATTATGACCCTGATCCTGACCCTAACTCTAATACTTACCTTAACCCTAATCCTGACCCTAACGAGCTATTAACACATTGTCCAAACAGTACTTAAAAACATGATCTGGGTGGAATTTGCTCCTTAGTTGGTGACTAGCGTTGATATTTCAGCTTTGATAATGACACGTGCCGTTAGCCAACGACTAGCATTCATTCAGGGTCATTAAAGCGTTCGCACTGTTGGGACGCTACTGTTGAACTTGGCTTCAAAAGACCATGATTAATACTTAACTAGTGCATACAAAAGGGCATTCATCATTCAATAGATAAAGAAAGCCTTACAAATCATAAAGAAGTTTTGATTCCTAATTGGATTCTCCTTCTATCCCTCTGAATTTCTCAACTACTTACTACATCTGAGTGGTCACAGCATATGTGTTCTATAGGCCCTACAGTTATACGTGGTGCTGGTATTTATTGGTCGCCTTAGTTCCAGGTGGAAGGGAGGGATCATGGAACGATGGTCATGTGGCCGCAGCTGCACAAAGACAGTCTTTTATTGATAGTAGGTCCCCATGACATGATCATTCAGGACTTCAGAACACTCCAAATTTTGTTTTTAGGCTTATCATCACCTGTCAAGAAGTTGTTATCCTACAAGTGACCCGTATATTTTATACTTGTGGTCAAGTCAAACACAATGAAAATCCAGTGGAATAAACAACGAAATCTTGTGTTGAATTTGGCGAATTCTCAGCCATTTTTGTGACAAAATCGTCACTGTCGCCGTGAATTCGCCGAGGCGGCGAATATAGGGTGACCAATATTTTCCTCAGTATTAGATATGAAAAGTAGTGCAAACTGTAGATTTATCGTATTATGTAGGCGATAGAGGAGGAATTCACAAGTGACTTTAGTTGCTACCAAGGGATGTTTAACATGTTTCTTGATTGCTTAAGCGTGAATATACACTAGCTAACAGACATTTTCGTGTTGGCACCATAGAGATTATGATAACAGGACAAATAGAGTAGGGTTTGTTGTGATTTTGACCTCCCGTCCTGTGTGCTGGGGGTCGATCTGATATGTGCTTAAAGCTAATCTAGAACCCTTGAATGCTTCGCTAACAGTTATCATTACAGCTAAAATAGCGTTCACTACTCTGTCAGTGGTTTCCGCCAGCCCCATTAAGTGGCAATTATGAAATAGTGTTATGATTTCTTACACAGCCCATGCTAATATTTACGATAACAGTTGCTTAAAAATGCATCACTAATATGAAATTCAACACCAGCTGATGGATTTCTAGCATGAATTAACGGTCAACCATACGCAAATTTCAGCAAGTCTCACATACGCTCTGTTGGTTTGGAAGTCGAGCATGTGTAACAATAACAACTTTAGGATGACCATTAGTGCTCAGTGTTAGGTGGTTAGGCACAGCTGCCCAAATAATTTTTGTCGGTTAACTTCCACCGAGTTCAACCCCATCTCTTATAAGCAATTTCACCATAATAGGAAAATCACTTCTTTATGTGTAAATCATGAAGATAGTTTATATCCCTGATAGGTATGTGGCGGTAATAGTAAGGACACTAACGTCAGAGTCATCAGTCACAACCACTGATTGGTCAGTGCGGGATGAGTGCGTTGTGGTGGTACAGAGGGAGGTCAGTTAGTTGCACTATTTGAACTTGTTCGAGTAAGTTTTCTTGACGACTCTGAATAGAAACAACATTCACGATTGTCATGCAGTCACCTAATTCGGTAGACCAACCCTTTCGCCACACTATATACTGCCCTTAAAGCCGATACAACTAGTAGAAATGATACTTATGGCTTTTCTGGGTTGTATTTATCAACGATGGTGTAAAGAGAATATACGGGTTCACAATCACACCATAACGCAGTAACCTCATGATTTTACCCTGAAAATCCAATGGTCCGCAATGTATTTCAGCTAGCACAGATAAACAAACTGATCTTCAAAGGCTAGCTGGGGATGTTCAGTTGAATTGACGAATTTCTTTGATCGCTTGCAGAAGGATGGACATACAAAGAAAATAGAGGGAACCGGAAGGTATAATGACTAAAATCTTTGTAAGATCACTGGTAAGAACTTGCGTCTAGTCACAAGTATGTACCAGGTCAAGTTCGCTGAATGTAGGCGGGACTTCATGAATTCAGTCATGTTGCTTATGTGTTGGGTCATACAAATATATTGGAACATTTTAGCTACGTGCCACCAATTTTCCCTATTATTTTTAGGCGCTACATGCAGGAAAAAGCCCACAGCCTAGCTAGGCACTCTCAGGATGTATGTGTGAATCAGGAGAAACGAAAGCATGAAATCATATCTAGACCTGTTCGCACATACCTGTCAAAATAAAACCTAAGGCTGCTTAAGCATCGGGCGGTGAGCTAGAAGTTAGCCCATTTAAAATTCAGTTAATCAAATTTAAGCTAATTATTTTAGCCTCAGTTTTGCCAGAGAAATGCAATACAAGTGATATAATACAGTCAAAAACGATTCTCAAAAAATGAAACTCTGAGGTGAAGGAAAACATCAAAATGCCACTGTTTACCAGTACGCACAATGTAAAACCAGAAGGCGTACAGGAATTTGCAAGAACGTGTATTAACAGGTGCTATGACAATTGAGTGCATATAATCAACCAAACAAAACCAATATTCACTAACATAGTATGAATGAGTTACATTAATCAATAGCAGCTGGTGTCACTCCAGTGGAAAATTTTCAGAAGCACCAAATGTTTAGTAAGCAAAATGTTTTTTTTCACCTGAATAGACCAGCTGCTTAGCACTCAGTTACACCTTCTCTGGGCCTTCCGGAGCTGTACTTTGACATTTTGCAATCCCTGTCTTCCATATTTCTTTGACAGGTATAAGATCCGTATCCTGATACTTTATGTACTCTTCGTCATCAGCATGAAGGTCATATGATCTGAAAGGACCGCTGGACCATTGTTTTTGATTGAGACTACTGTCTGAATTTTTTACTTTTTCCGACGATAAATGTACTATAGTATTCCGGAAATATTTCAACACTAGATCAGGATTTTCTGAAACCTTGTGGCTGTAAAGCAAAAATATATTGATAGTAAAATTAAAAGTTCTACAAAGAGATTCTTTCACTCCTATTCATTTGTAGAAAATCTAAGCAAATGTTTTTGTGTTTAGAATATAGTTTTCATCTTAATATAATACCTTTATGAAAGGGCGGTAAGCCTGTTTATTTAGAATATTGAAGCACAGAGGTTTAATTATCTAATTTGTTGTGGAAGCAAACGCAAAAGTTCGAATTCGTATCAAGGGAATAGAAATATGTTACCACTGGGCAACAAAAGTTTCTGTTCAAGAACACAGACTGTCTTCTTATTGTAGTACTCACTAGTTGTACAAGAATTCTGAAATTTCTAAGTATTTTACAAATCAGATAGGAAAGGACACATATGTATACAACTGTGCTCATTAGATCACAACATATTTGAAAAAAAAAATATACAGATGCATTATATCGAAAACTGTATGCATTTATATACAACCGTTCCTTGTATTGCTGGTGCTTTAGAAGATGAAGGATATTGATGGTTACGTGAGAAACTGGGTATACAAACACAAGTGTCTATCCCAGGACTACCAAAGTACTTGTTCTACTGAGACTACAGATAAATCAAAACAACAAATTGGTCATTCAAAATACGAGATACATTTCGCTATCAGAAACGTTGAGAGATGATGACTGCCTTACTAGCTAGGATTCTTGCATGAAAGACTGAAAGCTACACGATAGAGCGTCAAATCGTTAAATGCTTGAGAGTGTACCTACAGCGTAACAAATTGACTTAAACAGTGAAGTTCAGCATCCAGTATTAAGTGAAGAATGCAATAGACTAATAATTTTGGAGAATTATTTACCCCTACAACTTTGATCTAAAAGCTTTGTGATTTGTATCTATTGGCCCGTAGAGTTTTAACTCCCCAAATATATCTATAGGCGCCACAATCCAAACAGACAAAATGTTTATCACTGACCTAGTGATTTAACAGTAAGTATTTACTTGAAATTTATCGTTTATACATTCTGTAACGCAGTTTTTATGTTTTACTGCTTGTTAAAAGTTAAATGGGGGATAAATAAGATTGTAAAGTGACTTTTACTACAAAGAGAAATCATTATACGAATTATAATTACTAGAGTTAAAAAAATATGGATAATTTCGAATTTGAAATCGTTTCCGCATTACTATAAAATGAAATTGCTTTGAATATTAGTATTAACGGTGGGGGGAAATTTTGGGGGATGTCTCCAAGCTCTTGAAATAAAGTGGGGAAATCCTGGAAATTTTAGGGAAATACATGGCTTTACTCTGAGTTTCTTAAAAATATCCTCAGTCTGTATATCAGAACATATGTTGCGAACAAATTATACCTAAACCTCTACTTCAGTGATGAAGACATTCATTGTGCCTGAAAGACGATTGATCATGTTGAGTATATTTGGGCGAATGAGACACAGTATTAGTAATAATTGACTCAATCAGGCACAAACTAATAAAACAATATATGCTGAACACTAGGTCTAACAAAACTTACCAATTAAATAATTCTTCATTAAATTACTGAATATTACATTAAAGAAACCAGTCTTGCATGTATATATGCACTGCAGAAAGAACGACCTTGTCAGAATGAACAGAATTTTCCCATATTGAAAGACATAACAGCAAAGAAAATTTTCTCTTAGGGGAACTATTTTCAAGAGCTATACAACCACATTTATATCTAACAAGGAATTCATAAAACCAGTCAGATAATAGTGATTATGTTCCAAGAAATGTGATACTTAATTTGAGGGTAACCTAAAAGGGAACATGATTAAGTAAACTAATAAATACACATTAAGATTGATAAAAGTGGTATCTTATCTTTAACTCATGACTGGATTAACTGTCTGCTGGAGAATGTGGTTCGGCACCTGAAACTGGACTCCCATGTACATACACAGACTGGTCTTACCATGTCCAGACTAACATGCTTGCTATAATTTCGTTTAATTTTATTGTTTTAGTTTATTATTATAATAATGATTTTATAACTGTTATCATTGTTATTGTTTATTAATAACGCTGCATTTCTTATATAGATTTTATATAAACATTTCACCGTATTTCTCCTATCTTTCGTACATTTGTCGATTTTGGTTGATTAGATAATTTTCCACATTTATTACATAGTTCTAATTTACGTGTTTTAATCTCCATTAGTCACTCCCCTCTAAATTGCCTCCGGGTTACGTAATACACTTTCTAGAATACTATAACCAGTATCTGATTAATTTTACGGACTGTTTGTGTAATTATTACTATAGTTTGGAATAAAGTGATTACTATTATTATTATTATCATTAAATATAAATACATTTGTGTAGCTCCTGAACATGATTCACCGAAAAGAGAAATTTCTTCTCTGTTACGTCTTCTTTTGATCTTGTAAGAGATGAAAGGCAAACTTAATTTTTCAACCACAGACTTAAATAATGAACCTATTTAGAGTGTGGAGACACTAGTGTATAAACGTTGATAATATAATTCAGTAAACATGCAGGCACTTAGTGGAAAGTAATTAATGCTTATGAGTTAATTTCTTCTATGGCTAAACTCTATATCCATATCTCATAAAGTTCACAAAATGACTCAACCTTGCATCTTTTCTAATTTACAGATCGACTCTATTCTAATGAAATTAGCCGTAGGGGATTTAGAGGAAATTAATATCATCCTTTAGTCCACTTATTTCTGTTCTGACTACTGCTTAGCAATTAGTGAGATATGCGGTCACTCTTCAACCATGTTTATAGAATATGACCGTCAAATTTAGAGTATATAGTTATGATCAGAGGTATCTGTGTAGTATTTTTTCTGCTAATAAGAATGAAAAAGAAAGCAATACTGATGTTAGGTGTTGAATGTTATGTAAAATGGGCAAATTAGTAGATAAAGCTATGAAATTCCAATGACAGATCTGGTTAAACTAGCCGGGTCGAGGTAATGCTTTAAGTCAAATAGGAGGAAGTTAGGGAAATATCGAACACAGCTAAACTAAGATATTAAAGCTTCCTGTAGTAAAATTTAGAATGACACATGTAAGCGGAAAAGATTATTTTTAATCATATCTTATCAAGGTTTATTCTTATATAAACAACTTTGCAATTAAATTATAAGTATAAACCAATCATCGTGATTTGTCTATAGGGTGATAAGATTGTGTATATAAACTAATAATAATAATAATAATAATAATAACTCCATTAATAACAAAGATGAAAAAATGGAGAGACTTGTGAATATATATATATATATATATATATATATATATATATATATATATATATATATAAGGATTTCATCTAACGCATTCATGGTACTTATGAGTAGCTAGTGTGGTGATAGTTGAAAATGAAAAGTAAGCAGTGGTTCTTACATGACTAACTTGGTTCTCCATGGACTTAAGTACAAGGCCCAGTGACAATGATCAGTCCCATTTCATTAGTAAAGTTTTCAAAAATATTGTCATTAATAAGAAATAATATATGTTAGTCTCTTTAATTCCTTTGTATCCAAAGCTTACATTCACAAAATGGATCCACTTTTAAGCATACATATTTTTGTAACACAAGTCTAATTTAAAAGCACATACATCAGCGTAGGTACAGCTTTTCTTTACTTCCTATCAAAGCTGTACAGTCACTGAAGGTTTTATATGTAATGTGTTAACTGCCTAAAAAGGTAGAGGTTATTGTCAGTTAGGAGGAAAGATAAATCAAAGCGCATGAGAAATAGCAATGTGTGAAATACAGTGGATAACCTTGTGTAGTGGAGGAGGTGAACAACTAACGAGTTGGTGAGTGATGAATAGCCATTTGTAGATAACTGATAAGAAGTAGAAACATAAAGTATTGGAAGTGGGTCACATTGTTACTTTTGGTAATTAAACATCAGATGACACGTGATTCAGAGTTATATATAAAATAAGATCAAGTAGGTCAAAGGGAGGTTATTTACATCTTTAGGTGGCCTTAAATATTTTCATCCATAGGGGAAAACTTGAACTTTGCATACAGCCTCTATTACTTTCATTACCTTATTGCCAATTTTCGTTTCTTAATTAGTCGCATAATAAATTTTATGTGATTCTTTTAGGTGTGACTCAGTTTCCATTTCTTCAGCTTTTGTTTTCTATCACTTATCTCTAATTGGTTATTCAGGGCTTAACAAATTAGCTGTACATTTTCTCGATAATATATATATATATATATATATATATATATATATATATACAGCTATGATAAGAAGTTAAGGAAGAATATCTCTTTGCTGACTTATTTGTCGCAATTTAAAAGCAGTCTCGGTGAAAATAAATCAGCGTTAGCTGATTCTTCGGTTGACCACTACTAGAAGAATGTGAACTTTTACTCAGCTGGAACGGGGTTTCTTTTAACCTTGTGATTTGTTTGTTCAGCTTATTTTAGCTTCTACATACATTGTAAACGTTACTGATAATGGTGACTAAGTCTCAATACACTATTTATTACTGAATGACATTTTATATCCGAGAGTCAGTAGTTCAATGGTAGAACGCTCACAAGTCACACGGGAGGTTCAGAATCAATTACAACCTGATGCATTCTCAAACCTTGCCTAGTTTATCAGGCTGTAGTAAGCCCGGAAAAGGGATAAGGTTGTATGTCAGGCTAGCAACCCCACCATTATTGCTGAAACTTCTAAACTTGAAGCTCAGTGTTCTGTTTGAGATGTAAGGAATGCATAGAAGAGTTTAAGTGGCTGATAGCGTCTTATATGTTGGAACTTAGAACAGTAAAATTATAGTATACTATTACTGATGTAAATAAAAGGCAACCACAGTAAATCATCATTACTTAACTTACCCATTAGAAATAACTCTCGTTGCATTATATACCACATTACCAAGATGTTGTTGTTTTGTTGGTGGAATATACCTGAAGTATATTTTAACAGCTTTAATTATTTGAATTGAGTGATTTTTCGACATATGACAAATTGATTCTTTATATAAATCATCCTCTATTATTTCCCAGCATGAAAACTTTTGTGCTTTAGTATTATTCATATAATGAATAGTCTGTTTAAACAGAAAATACTTTATACCTGTGTAGGTATACAATCCTAGTGTGACCGATTCATTGGCATGAATATAATGTAAGCGCATAATTTGTTCTAGACTTACTAAGTGTAACCACTTTGCCTCTGAATGATTTAATGATTTCTCTTGAAGAAATATTTCCACATTATGAAAATACTGTGGAGTAGTTAGATTCAAAAATGAAATACGCTTGTCTTCATCAACTTGATACCATTGTATATAAGTAGGATAAGGCTGAATAAATATGAAGGTGAATATTGTAGCCATTAAAATAAGCAGACAGAAGAAACCGGAAGTCATCACAACTCGAAAAAATAACCACCAATGTTTTTGTTTAAACATAGACTTCTCCTCCATGTCGAATAACATTTCGTTAGTCTCTTTGATATTAGATTTCTGGCTGCCTAGTAAACATTCACTTTCATTTGGTATATTACTGTCTGAATCGGTAAATGCATTGTTGAACTTCTCATAAACACAGGAAATAAAGCATACAGATAGACGAATGCATATAAGTGTGAAAATTAATCCTCCTTTCATTATGAAACCCATTGAAATTGTAGATTCTTGACAAGCACATGTGTAAGTATTGAGAATACCAAGTGGAATTTCAGCCAAAAAGATATTTATGGTGGTGATGCAATCAACAGTGATCCATAATATATATCTTCTTCTTCTTAGAATATTAATCCATAGAAATACTTCTGTTATACTTAATACAAATTCGATAATACTGAATAGGATATAACTGATAAATAGAAATTTTGATATTTTGTCGAATACTAGACCAGGAAGTTGTTGGTATAAATCATTCACAATTATCCAACTTGAGCTTAAATTACTCAATAGTGTGACCAGTAAACATGTGACATGAAGTATTAGTAGACATGGTTGTTTGAGGAATTTTACCAAACCAGACTGATGACACTCATTTCTCGTAGTATTATTACCTATAGGTGTAATTTGAATTCTCCTGATCATTTTTTAAACGACGATAGGATAATGTGAGTTACTTGTAAACAATCAGTCGAAAAAATGTGGAATTATGTAAATTGGTTATATACTTTTTGAACAGTAATCATAACAATTGATTGGTGAGAATTAAAATTTCATACAAAAACTATTGATTGGATTACAAACTAGGAGATGAACTGTGATCAAGATTTGACCGAAAAGAATGACTAAATAGCTGAGCAGTGTTCAGAAGTATTGAATAAGATTATGTTAGCTGACTCATCAATTTGACGTAATTTGTCAACTTGATAAATTTGAATCAACCAATGACAACAAGTTATGTGAGATAAAATGAATTCATTTGATTTCTTAGGGTTTATGGGATTAACATGATTCACTATTAGATTCCAGAATATTCTTCTCTTCACAATATGAAAATATTTTCATTTTGATTCTAAGTCCTTCTATAGTTTTAACAAATTCTTCATTTTTGACAAATATTTTGCTACCCTTATTAAATTGACCATTCAGTTGATTGTGTATTTTATTATTCAGGACGAATTTAATCAACTACAACTTTTAAGAAAACGGTGACTCGCCACATGTTACAACCTTTCTAATCACATCAAAGAATCATGATTTACTGTCTTATGCAATCAGCAACCTCCTTCAACTGAGACACCACTATTTATTATGCAATGCCACTTCTTGCTACGATGACACGTGGTCAGTGATTTGTAATTTCCCATGTCTTCTGCTTTAGACTAATGCTTCCCGCCTAATTCGTGACTAGATATCTTAAGGGCAAAGCAGATGTTTGTTGGCTTTTTGTGTCAGTATTTTACAGGTTTATTCAGACTGGAATATAATGTGTAATATTTGAAGAGTACACAGATGACGTCATATCTATGTAAGGTAGTTAAAATTTCACTCAGGATACACAATTTGCGCATTTCAAATCATACTGAGAAATTCACACTACGGTTATTTGTGGACTCCATTCATTTTAAAAAGCTAGGAATCATGTTACAGTGGTAATGTTTATGTAGTGCAAAGAATTTGAAGAAATTTGTAGAATATTTTATTAGCAGTTGAAAGAGTTGGTAAGGACTAGAAGGGTGCGAAGGTAGGATTTGTTTGCTGTAGGTAGCATACAAGAGGTCGGTTCTTCTTCACCTCTGATAACTTAGAAATTAAGTTCTTCTTCGTTACAATATTCTAATTGGACAAACAAGCCATTATAGGAACTATCAGTGAAATGGAAAATTCCCACTATTTATAAGTTGGTAGAAGGAAAAAGACGCTTGTAAGAGCACATTTCTTGATATATTGACACCAACTGATGACATCCCTTTGGCTAAAATCTAAACAAACTAGATGGGTTTCTTAACCGGTTTTCAGTTTATCTCAGTGAACTAGGGTAAAAAGTTATGTGAATTAGTGGGATTACAGCTTGATTTAAAAAAAAATAAAAATTCAGTAAAACGTGGGAAAAAGGTCGACCAATGAGAAAAAGATAAAAATATTTAAACAGATAATTGTTTCTATTTTCACTAGGAGTAATGGTTATGTTCATTTAGAGTTTAATAACTGGGATATCTAGAAAATCTGACGTAGCAAGAAATAATCTATAGGATAATAACTCCAGTGAAAACTCACCTTATTGTTTGAATTACAGTGATAACTACTTATTGCCGTTAGCGCTTGCAGAATAAGTTAGCAGTGAATATGAGTTGCCAAACTACAGTCATTTCACGAACGAAAGCCTGCCCAAGTTGAGTTTATTACTGTCAAGACAGAAAACAAAGGAGTGCTGCAAAGGATTAATTTGTAAAACACAAAAATTATGAAAGGGAAAAAGTGCAACGTGAATTAAAATTATGAATATATTTGATTGGGTTAACACTTCTAACAATAAGAAAGATGTTTCATTTCAGGTCGCTTTTACCCTTAAGTTATATGAATGTAAGCGTATTCACATAGTTTTCAGAATACTTGACACTTAATAATAGGGGATCATTGAACCTATATATGTATGTCGTCTTACAGTGGCCATGTATAGTACTATCGGTCTAAGCCAGTTCATCTGACGTGATGATGTCTGCAAACGATTCCCTATGAAGTCAATACTATTAGAAATGTACTGGCGTCAGCGATTCTCACTGACCTGAACATCTAATGGAGTGACCTGCTGCTTTAGAGTAAATAGCCAGTTTGTCGACGATACATTCAAAATTTGAAGATTTCTGAAAGACTTAAGTGAAACTTTGAGTACTTGCGGCACACTACAGAAATGAAGAGAATTCATCTTCATTCTAAAAATAGGACTGAAGTAGTCCAATGAGATCGTTTCACTCATCCAGAAAATTCAGTTAACTGATTCACACTTACGGAAAAATCATCGCATACACCAATAGGATATCCAGACAATAATTAAAACGCGTGTGTGGGGAATCAATCCATAGTGGCTTACTTTGCAGCAATGAGGCAAACTGGTCGACAGCAGATAAAACATGAGAAACTGCAGATTTCTAACTACACACAACAGAATTGGTAAACTTGAGACTAGATGTAGCGTATCAGATGAAGAAATTTGTCTATTGAATGATGCACTGAATCGTGGTTCATTGATGCAATTTAGTTGGGTGTAGCATATAGCGAGCAATGTTGGTTGAAGCATGATAGTGTTGTTGAGAGGTAATAATGATCAGGCGGAAATATGGAACTAATGGCTGGGGTGTGTCACTGCTGGTCTGAACCAATTATAATCATCAAATAATTTCGGTTACAGTTCAGGATCGTTCACAACAACATCAACTTAGCTATTAAATAAAGCACTATTATATTTCAATAGTTTACACACAATGATAAGTTTTGTTATTGGTACTATTTCGAGCAAAATTACGAATAACAAAACTTATCATTGTGTGTAAACTATTGAAATATAATTGTGCTTTATTTAATCTATTCCACAATGCTCAAACTTTTTACTGATATTAAAACTTAGCTATTCTTCATCATATGAATTTCTATTATCAACAATCCTCGTGTAAGAAGAGTAGAATTCGGACACTGTTTGGTAATAATGATAAAAATAACTGAATGACGCTCCCAGCACAACTTATTGCTCATAATTATATCAGTGTATTCACACAGCTTCATAAATGGCTTTATATAGCCTAACCTGCGGCTGATCTTTACTGCAAATTTCGCATATATTTAAACTGACTTGATAAACAAAAACTGGGTGATTAATCTCTCTCTACTTAACTGTATTACGTTGTAATACTTTTATCCTGTCCCAAGCTATTATGTGACTATATGCAAGCGCATGCTGAACTGTTTTCGAGGTTATTTAACCCAGCAGCGTTGACCATTCTAGATCTAGCTAAATTTCTATATTTTGATGATCCAATTAACTCCAGTCTACCAGTATGACTTATGTATCTGACATAACAAACATTACATGGTATTTAGTAAGTTATATTATTTTTATTAATTAGATGTGTTCAGTCCTTAAGCCGACAAAGTTTAGCTCTCGGAGAATTAGTTAGTAGAAAAGTGACTCTAATTTCAGCCTTACTAAGAACCCAACTTACAGCCTCTGATATCTCTTCTTTATATGACAGAATTATTGAGGCTTTGAATTTCTTGTTATTTATTATTATTTTCATTACTTAATCGCCTGGTTCGATTACATAAACATTTGACTAAACCCACCTTTAAAAATTTTTTCCAGTTAAGATTAAAAGTGTAAATACCTTTCAAAGTATGACGGCTTTTTATTGATGTCAGTGGCTTAGTCACCATTATGTTCATTTCTTTTTAACTTCACAGTGAATTGCTTTCAATCTATTACTGGTAACTAGACGTCTCTACACTGTTGATGTGTTTTGTCGAGTCACAACTGTTTTTTTGATTACAACTCACTGAGCTGAACTTATCAATCTTTCAATTTATTTAATTGTTTGTTAACGTGATAATTTTACTTCTAGTTGACATTTTTTACATCCTCCCGTGCAAAAAGAAACTCTGGTTTTTGAATAAAGAGCAAGAACAACAGATTTTGCAGAACAATATGGTGCCATCATTTATTTTTGTTGGCTTCTCATCATCTGTTTACAGCCTAAATCAATTATTAAGTTTATGTACGGAAAAGTTTTAACGCACTTGCAAATTTTACATGATTTCGATGACATATTTGTAGTATACGCCAATGAAAGTCATGCTTCCTACCTACTCGGACTATTCAACAACACACATACAAATATTGAATTTAATATGGAACATGAAAATGATGAAAAGTCCCATTTCCTCGACATTGCCATGCACCGCCTAGATGGTAGTCTCGAGAAGTCAATTTACCGAAAACCTACTTGGAGTGTACAATACCTACATTTTAATAGTTTTTGTCCAAATCGCTTTAAACGAGGCCTAGTCAAGACTCTGTACTATAGAGCTAGCAGAATATGCTGTGCAGACAAATTATAGGAAGAATTTATGATTCTCGAAAAGATGTTGAAAAACAACGGTTATCCCAGCGATTCACCAACAAATATAGAAGATGTGAAGGCTTAAATGTCAAACAAATCACAGTGAAGAAAAAGCCTGTCTTCATTGAACTCGATTCTAAAGGTGAAGATATTTCAGCAGTAGTCAACAGGAGATTGAGTACATCACTCGTCAAGGCCTATACTTCAGCTAAGTTGGTTCCCTTATCATGTTAACTCCAACTATGTATACAAATTTACGTGTATCTGCGGAAGCAGTTACAATGGAAGAACAGAAAGAAGGGTTCACCTCCGACTTCCTGAACGCGTACCAAAAGGCCTACATCTCAAGGGAACAAACACTTACAATAGTGCCATTACCAAGCATCTCCTTGATATGGGTCATGAGATGGAAATCGCAAAATTCTTTGAAATTATCAGTAGATAAAAAAGCTCAATTCTCCTCAAGTGTGCCGAAGTAATCTACAACAAACGCCTGAAACCTGATTTATATGCCCAGAAAGAAGCGGTTATCAG